AATAATATAAAAAAAAAATAAATATGGTAAAAATTTATTGTAATTGAATAATATATAAGTATAACAATTAGAATATATTTATAAATTATCATCATTTAAACAACCACGATTTTCATTAAGTACATGTTTAGCTTTACTAAACAAGCGCTCCACAGGAGCGCTTGATGATAAAGGTGTGTTATATTCAATAAATGTTTATTTTAATTAACATTATTATAAATATTCACTGAATCATCATTAGAATAAAAAAATTTATTAATGGAAAGTGCATTTTGTAACGAGTTTTTCCCAAATCGCTAGCCTTTGCAATCTCAGGGAGATCATCGAGAAAAATTTTTATGGGGGGGCGCTCCTCATAGCCCCGCTTTTGCCCGGCCTTCGGCCGGGTTTTATATTAATATATCAAACTTTATTAAAACTTGCTAACTCTGAACAATTATTCTGAATTTCATATTTTGTCATTTATCATATTATAACAAAATTAACTAGCATATAATTAATTACAATAAAGACATTTCTAAAAATAATATTTTATCTATTTATTACAGTATAAAATATTTTCGATTGCTGATATAAAAAATTTTGCGTCTAAAGAATTACAAGTGATAAAAAGAGTTAATTAATTCATACATATGCCTCAATTGATAATGGTTTTTAAAAACCACATAATATAATAAAATTTTTAGCAACTTACATTGACAAAAGATCATGAAACTTTTGTAGAATGGACAAATAAGGAAAAATTTATACGTCTAACCAAAACCCATCTTTTAAATAGATAATATAAACCACCAATCTAAATCAAATTATATTGGGGGTTAGAGCTTCTTCTTAGATGATATGATGGAAGCTAGATAAGTAGCCGAGAAAATTATTGTGAGATATTAAATTTCTAAAAGATTTATTTTCCATTTTTAATGATACATAAACTTAACTCATATCAGAAAAACATTAAAAATCTTTAGAAGAAATTATGCAAATATATTGAAGCCTTGAGTTATTTACATGGCAAGGATGCCATAAAAGAAATGAAACATTTTGTAACTATATAATAAGAAACAGAATGATATGAAGAAAGCAAATAAGATTTTATATATAATTGTCGCACCACCTCAAGTTGGCATATTATATCTTAAAATAATAGTAGTTTGTAATAATATTAAAAATATATTCGTATTAAAAATTTAACTCAAAACTATTTTTCAAAGATGAAAAAAATAGCTTTCCTAAAAACACGTAAAAAAGAGAAGAAAAGATTTCTAATTTATTACATCCCTTATGGAATGAATAATAAGATGTTTAATTTTAATAATAATTTAAATTAGATGGCGTTAAAGAATTTAATGCAAATTGTTACTAATATTTATTATCAAAGGCATTTATTAGTAAAATTTATTTAACTATAATTTATTATATAACTGTCAAATACGTCTGTAAAAGTGGCATTTTACCTAATATTTTATAATCAATTATATATAATAGAGGATTATAAACAGAAATCTCTTATACTTATTTGGACCTTGAATATTTTTAGAAAGAGGCATGGTAATTAAATTTAAAAATGAATACTATAGTTGATTAGTGATTTTGAACTCGGCTAATTACAATATTAAATTTGTTAATTTTCAATTAATAAATGATTATATTTATTTAATTAGGGTTATATAATAATCTAAATATAAAAGTCAATTAAGTTTCAACTGTTATGCTAAATTAATATTTAGTGAGTGATATTGATATTCTATTTTTAATACAGAATTTGATTGAAAGCTGACATAGTGAAAATATAATTTATATGTATTAATAATATAATAATTAAAATAGTATTCATTTAATAAAAATTTATATAGTCTTATTAATTTTTAAATAATAAAATTAAATCTATATATTACTTGATAGAATTATAAAAGAAATTGTTCAGGGGCCAATGAAAAAAAATTTAGTACATGGGGATATTAAGGAGCCATTAAAATAAAAATTTGCTTCAGGGAGCTATTCAAATTTTTCAGGGGGCTCGAGCTCCTGCGCACCCCTTCCTAGTGATGCTATTGTATTGATCCATGTTCATTTGAAGGATCTGCATATGGTTGACCCTCTATATTTTCTAAATGGGCAATTAACCTTTCTTTTAGCATTAGATTTTGTGGCAGATTAATAAAAGGCTAATTGAACTTAAATTTTGGGTGAATTATTGATGCCAATATATTACTGTCATCATATAGTGAAGGAAATCTATAATTTTTATTATATATACATTATGATTTTCACAAATAATAAAAATTGTATTTTTAAAAGAATTAATTACTTCTAAATGCCTCTTTAGGTTTGAACTGCTAATCTTTGAAGAAGATATCTTGTTTTTGCATAGAATTTTGCACATTGTATGGTTACTTCCATCCGTTTCACATAATGTAAAATACTTACGTAAATTATGAAATGGTAAAAGATTCTCATTCTCACTTATATATGCTATCACATCAATAGAAGTAGATGTATCATCTACTAAATTTATAATGGAGGACATTATTAAAACCTAGAATTTATATTATATTATAATAATTAATAAATAAATATAACTTGTCCTTACAAAAATTTTGGGATTGTTGAAATATAAAATCTGGTGGAATGGTGGTTTATAAAATATGATGTAGATAGCTATTTTTTTTAAATAATATTTAAATTTAATTTTCAAAATTTTTATTTTATTTATTGCTTTTTAAGTAAAAAAATAATTTTTAAAAGGATCGGGATAGAATATTTAAAAAAATGATCTCGATAACGATCCACAATTTAAGGTCAGGATCTTAAATCCTAGAAAATTGACAAATTTAGGAATCCTAGATCGGCGTTGATTCGATCCTTTAACAACTCTGATCTAATCTTATGCCAACCCTTAGTAGACTCCATGTTAAAAGGCATTGAAATAAGGTAAACAAAATTTATATTGACTGAATAATTTATGTTAAGCTAAAAAATTTATAAAATTTTATGATGATATATTTTAAATACTCTATTTTTGCAACTTTTATATTCCCCAACCTCTACAGTGATGAAAATGTCTTGAGAGCAATGATTCATCCGAAGTTTAAACTTAACTGGCCATACATCAATTCCCATGATACTATAGATCAACGTGATAGGCTCATGGCTAAGTTGAATAGTCTTAACCCAAACAAAGATGGTCCAATTACATCATCGAAGACATCCGACAATAATTTTTTTGAAATAAAAGAATGTATAATAGAAAATCCACTCGATTCCTTTTTTAAGTCAAAAAATACTGAAATGAGTATTTCTGATAATCTATCTTATGTTTAAAAAATGTATATAAAATTAAATACTCCCTTGCCCTAAAGTGCTAGTGTCGAGAGATTATTTAGTAAGGCAAAACTTATACTTTCTGATCGTCACTCTAGACTTGGGAATGATAACATTGAAATGATTTTATTATTAAAATTCAACAAATTACCATAAATATTTAAAATTTATTATATAAATTTTTTTATAATCAAAATTAACTATATTTTAATATTTATAAATGTTGATTTTTATATATTATTTATTATACAGTTACATTATAAGCAAAATAAAAAAAAATTGTTTCTAAATTTTTTTTATAAAAAGTAGATTAAAAGTAGCTAAAGCTACTTTTTTTGACAAATAGCGTTAGCGGTAGCGCGCTACTTTTAAAAGTAGCGATTAACAACTCTGGTTATAATGTACCTTTTTAAAACTAAATAAGTTTGAACTGAAATACCAAACGATATGTAAATTATAAAAAATATAAACATTTTTAAATTTTTATTCTTAAAATTTTAATATTTATTCATGACGCATTTATACTTTTGAGCAAGTAAGTATCTTTTTTTGTAGTTATATATTTAAGAATATATTCTTTAATTTATAAATAATTAAACGTAAAAATGAGGTAAATATTATAAAAATTCAGTCTTTTTATTTTAAAAAGAAATATTTTTTTGTTTTAAAAAATAAAATTATAAAGATATGGTAAAAAGGGGAAAACATTAACAGTGAAACAAAAGTTCTAATAATTGACGCGTTAAAAAAGGATACAAAAATATAGCATCATGTTTTAAAGTAGGCTATAAGACAGTGACAAATATTAAATACTCTTATCTCAAAAATGGAATAAAATATAGTTTGCCCAAAGGAGGTTCACGTGCACGCAAAATTAAATCAAGAACAGGAAGAATATATATTAAATTGTATAATGTATTGCACTTTATCAAAAAGGTTATGCGAAATGATTAAAGAAAGATATGATGTGGAAATATCAAAAAATACGGTATCAAGGTTACTCTCAGGATTTAGGTATAGCTTTAAAAGAGTATCACTACGTTCAGTTAGAGAAAATACCGAATCAAATATCGAGATTATTTTTAAAAAGACAAGATTATCAAAAATGAGAAGAAAAATAAATTGAGAGAAGATATAGCAAGAAAAATAAAGTAAAGAAATTGCAAAAAGTTAGAAATAAATTGAGAAAAGATTCGGTAAGAAAAATAACGTAAAGAAATCGCAAAAAGCTATAAATAAAATAAGAAGGAATAACAAAAATAAGAAATATTGACAAGAAATTTTAAAAAATTACGATTTTCCTTTTTTAAATGGGAATTTTCCTTTTTTGATTGACAATTTTTCTTTCCTTTTGGGAATTTTCCTTTTTCGATTGACACTTTTCCTTTCCTTTTGGGGAATTTTCCTTCGATTGACACTTTTACTTTTTTGATTGGACCTTTTCCTTTTTTGTTTGGCACTTTTCCTTCTTTGAATTGACACTTTTCCTTTTTTTGTTTGGGCCTTTTCCTGTTTTGATTGAACCTTTTCCTTTTATGATTGACCCTTTTCCTTTTTTGATCCGACCTTTTCCTTTTATGATTGAAACTTTTCTTTTTTTGATTGGGACTTTTCCTTTTTTGAATGGGAAACCCTGTAAATGCTTAAATATATAATTATATAAAAAAGATTAATGAATATACCTTTTAACTGTTTTCCATTTTCCAATGAATGGAGCATCTAATGAGCGTTTTGGCGTGGTTTTAACTGTTTTAGAATATGTTTTGATGGAAGCATTATTTGTTTCCACAGAGTTTAAGGGTTTATTTATTGGGCCTCTTTCAACTATTACATCGTCATAATTGCCTTTTATTATAAAAGAAGTTTTGAATAAAAAAGTTTGCTAATTATTTTATATTAGAATTCCTAGAAAAAGCAATAAAAATGAATAATTGTGGAATTTCGTTTTGTTTCAAATGGTACAGATTTGGTAAAGGTTTTTTTGCGTTAAAATCATAAAATATTTAAACAACAAAACAAATTTTTTAGAAAAAAATGTAGATTATTTTTTCAAAGGATTCACAGCTTAGGCTATAATTTTCTTTAAGTTATATTTATCTTTGAAGTATCGGCTATTGATATCGGTTAAAATAAAAAGTCTAATATTGTACGATACTAATGCAACATCCAAGTTATCTTCTGAACCAACCCGTCAGTCTCGCGTGAAGGGATATGGTTATTAAAATATCAGGCCCGTGGTCCGAAAAATATTAATGTTATATTTAATTTGTATTCTTCCTTTTTTTCATTATTGAATACCACAATTATAAAATGAATTTAAATAATAAGAAAAGTTTTTTAATAAAATAAGATGTTTAAAAAAAATCAGGAGGCGGGAAATATTTACTATTCTTTTTCATATCATATTTTGCAATAAATAGAATAAAATAAATAAACATCATTAAATTATTATGTAGACACTGGGAGATTCCCGGGAGGAGGGGGGGGGCGTCAGGCTTCTCCAGAGCCCAAAACCTGGCCTCTCGAAATTTTTTTTATTTAGTTATATAATTTTAATTCACCATTAACGATTAATCTAAATGAAAATGCAAGAAAATTTTTAAAATATTATTTATTTAATTTATACAAATTAGTGTTGTAAACGAACGCGTTCATTCGTTTTTTTGAAAAAAATGATGAACGGCGTTCCTTTTATTTTTGACGAACTTTGAACGTGAACGCGTTCCTTTTTTTATGACGAACGCGTTCGAATTTAACTTTCGTTCAATTTTACAAATACTTTTTATTTTTATTTATTTGATAAATTTAATATTTCCGATTTTTTTTTAAAAAAGTATTATTTATATTTTTTAATCGGCTGCGCATTTCCTTTTCACATTTCAATTTTTTTAACACAGTTTATTAATTTGAATATTATTGTTTATATTTTAATTCAATAGATTAGCATAAGCATGGATATCCTCGTCATCTAATTCTGAAAATCCAAAATCAGATGAATTATCATTACCATGGCCAAATATGATAAATGTTTTACAGTAACATCCTATATTGAAGGAACTAATTCAATGCTTACCAAGTGTAAAATGTGCCCAAAAAGTATTATATTGTCAAAATTATCAGGTTCCAATTTAAAACGACATTTGATTGTATTATTAATTATTTTATATAATATAATTATAACTAAGTAAAACATTTTGAAGAAAAAATGCATTTGGGATATTTGACCCCAACAATAACGATAGTTATTTTAAAATTAAAAAAAATTAATGGCCTATCAAATATAATCAACCATTGATAGACGCCGTATTAGATGGGATTAATAAAAGGTATTAAATCTATCACTCTCAATTAATTACATATATTTTATTTTTTTTAAAGATTTGAACATATATGTGAAGATCAATATGTTCTTTCTGCAATATACATCAGTATAAAAGCTTCAATGGCCATGGATAAAACTTCCACAGAACGAACCTATTAAAAATAAACTTATAGCGTTATTGAAAAAAATGCTTTGAAAACCCTAGAAATGATAATGCAAGAACTGTTAATTTTGGTATCGCGTCATTACATAGAAACCATTACAGAGAAAACAATTATAGAGAAACTTTTACAGAGAAAACAATTATAGACAATGTCGATTATAGAGAATTATTTTATAGAGAATGTATTTTACAGAGAATTTTTTATAGAGAAAACAATTATAGAGAATGTCATTTATAGAGAATAATTTTATAGAGAATTATTTTATAAAGAATGTATTTTATAGAGAATTATTTTATAAAGAATTTTACTTAAAGATATGATTATTTTATATATATAGTAATAGGAAAAAAAGGTTATAGTATTTTACATAATTTTAAATATTAGAATTACCTTATATAAGCGAGGTTTTTCGATTATTAGATGAATTAATGGTAGAATAAAATTTTGACATGATTTATAAGGAATTTTATGAAATTTATTTTTAAAGATAAGTACAAAATAAAATAGATAGTGTTGTTAAAAGTTGCTTTGGCAATGTAATGCAACTAGTTAAGTTAGTAGTTAAATTTGGGAAAATATAACAAGTTACAGAATAGTTTTTTTTAAAATATAACTAGCTACTAGTTACAATTATTTTTAGTGGATAGTAGCTTCAGGGCTAGCCGGATCGATTAAATTACGTTAAATCGAATATATTTATATTTATTATTTATATTAATATAAATACATTGGCTAAGATTTAAATCATATAGTATAAGAATGTTAAAAAAATTTACAAATTTAAATTTATTAATTAATTATATTTATTGAAATATATATAAATTAAGTAACCAGTTACTTTTGCGCGGATGCCTGTTTCATATGTCTCAATGCATATGGCGCATGGTTCAAAAAAATCTGGTAATTTGCAATGCTTACAAAACCGAAACAAATTTTGCTATGTACATAAAAATGTTAATGTCACTGGCATATGTATCAATTGAGAATGTAATTCATGGATTCAAAGAATTATGTGCCTCTAAATTTTATCAAGAAAATAGGGATATTCTCTCCCCCTTGATAGAATACTTGAAGGGACGTGGATTGGAAAAATGATAGCGATGGAGAGGAAGTCGCCAATATTTAGCATTTCTCTATGGATTGCTACGAATCGACACTATCTCAACAAAAATCGCTAAAAATTGGGAGGCTTATATCTCCTAGAAAATTTTTAAAGTAAATTTGAAATTAATATTAATAGATACTAGGGGATTAAATACTTGTATTTAAATTAAAAATTTAAAAAATATCGCTAAAATGGAAGAAATATCATCCAAAAACCAAATATAAATAATTCAGTAGAGGACTGGCATAGAAGTTTTTCGTCTCATATAAGTTCCCATCATCCAACGATTTGGAAATTTATAAAGAATTAGTAATTATATTATATTATAAATTTTAGCATTTTAATTTTTAGCTCTCAAAAACGAAGATAGTCTGAATTGTTACAAATTGGAACAATATTCTTTAGGACTATTGGCTCCGCTGTCAAAGTAAGAATATCGCGAAAGATCCAAAATAATTTTTCTAATTGTTGAAGATTTTTATTCAAGAACCATGCTAAATTATCTAAGGGCTTTATCCCATAATTTAAATTTAAATGTTTAATTTAATCATATAATTGTATTTTTTATATTGGTATATTATTTATACTATGTTTATTTGGATTTTTTATGAATAAAAATTTATTAGATATTTCGAAATGAATATTGCTAAGCTCAGTATATTATCAAGGTTTATATAAAAACTTCATATACAAATAGTATTAAAAATATTCTATAAGTCATATTGCCAAAGTAACTTTTAACAACACTATATATTTTATTTTGCATTCTTATCTTTAAAAATAAATTTCGTAAAATTCCTTACAAATCATGTCATAATTTGTTTATCTCTTAGTGACAAATAACTTTTAACTTAAGAATGGATTATCGGTGTGTCCCATCTATAATTGAAAAATTTTAGGAAGAATAATAATATAAGTAAGAACTAAATAAATTTTGCTGAAGATAAAAAAAGCTTATAAATGAAAATTTCTACATTAGTTTTGTCAAATTAAGTGGTTACCATTAACTAGCTAAAAAATATTTATAACTAGTTACATTTACAAAATCATAACTGTAGCTGGCTACATTTTTTAGAAAGTAACTAGTTACTTAATTTAAATAAATATAATTAAATAATAAATTTAAATTTGTAAAAATTTTTTATATTCTTTTACTATATGATTTTCCTTACAAATCATGTCAAAATTTTGTTCTACCATTAATTCATTTAATAATCGAAAAGCCTTGTGCAAAGATAAACAAATAATTTTTTGTACCGATTGTAATAATTCAAAAACTACCCATGTTATAAATAGTTTTATTATTTTTTTTGTATGAGTCATGAAATATTTTTTTTGTTTGAAATTTTATTTTTAATATTTTTTTTTGTTTCGCGCAGTCATCTTGAACGTCATTATATAAATATTTTTTTTGTTTGAAGTTTTATTTTAATATTTTTTTTGTTTCGCGCAGTCATCTTGAACGTCATTATATAAATATTTTTAATATTTATTATGTAAAAAAAAAATAAATAATAATTTAATATTTATAAAAAAAAATAATAATAATCTTATATAAACTAAAAAAAAGTGGAAATTCATATTATTATCAATTATATTTTTTTATTGTTTTAAAGAAAAATAAAACCAATTTATTCAAAAAAAAAAAAGGGGTAAAAAAATAAATAAATATACTGTTAAGTTAAACATAATATTATGCCAAATACTGTAATTTTTTTTCCTATGACTATATATAACATTTTTTATAAAATTATCATATTCTTAAATAAAATAATTTTCTATAAAATAATATTCTTTATAAAATAATTCTATAAAATAAATTCTCTATAAAATAATTCCCTATAAAATACATTCTTTATAAAATATATTCATTATAAAATAATTCCATAAAATACATTCTCTATAAAATCATTCTCTGTAAAATCATTCTCTATAAAATCATTCTCTATAAAATTATTCTCTATATAATTATTCTCTATAAAATTATTCTCAATAAACGACATTCTCTATAATTGTTTTCTCTATGAGTGCATTCTCTATAAACGTCATTCTCTATATAAAACTTTCTCTATAAACGACATTCTCTATAATTGTTTTCTCTATAAGTGCATTCTCTATTTTTGTTTTCTCTATAAAAGTTTCTCTGTAAAATACATTCTCTGTAATGGTTTCTCTGTAATGACGTGGAACCGTTAATTTCGAGATATCCTTTTTTTGTCGAGGAAGTAGAGAATGGATTGGAGGAGGATAACTTATCTCAATTCTTTGAAGCAAATAACAAAACAATAAATGTTTTTAATAAATTCCCTACATTAAAAGAGTTATTTATTAAGTATAATACCGCAATCACCTCATCTACCCGTGAGCGCGTTTGCTAATGCCGTATTAACTGCCAAGCGTTCTTGTCTATCAGATAAAAATTTTGAAAAATATTGTTAATAAAAATTAATAGAAAAATTTTTTATAAATAAAAATATCTTTTTATTTTATATATAATTTTTAACATGGCTAATATTGTGCTAATAAATATAAGACATTTATTTATATTAGAAAATTTTAAAAAAATTATCATAATTTTGAACGGTTCATGAACGTGAACGCGTTGCTTTTTTTTGATAGTGAACTTGAACGCGTTCGATTTTTGTCAATGAACGTTGAACGCGTTCGATTTTTTTAGAAATGTTTACAGGACTAATACAAATTAATAAACAAATGAAAACCTAAGCATAATTATTCATTATATTTTTTGTGTAGAAAAACAAAAAATTTTAATAGGAATAATTAATTTAAAATATCTTTCTGCTGAAAGCATTACTAATTGCATCTTAAAGCAACTTAATGAAAAATATTAATTCTTCGAATATAATAAGCCAGGTATGACGTGCAAATGTCATGTCTGGCCGAAATGGAGAAGTACAAACCCTGCTTCAATAAAATTAATAAAAAGTGCCTTATATACATTGCTACAAGTTGCATCTTTTGGGTCAAAATTAGTATAATAATATTGTTATCATTTATAATTTTTTAATTTATCTAATGCATTATATAATTTTTTTAGGCGCTTTAACGTATGCTATAAATATATAGGTCATACTCTTAAGAGACTTTTAAACCAGAGTGGACTGGTCATTTAGAAATATCTCCTATCATTTATAAGAATTTTGAGGCTATTGGTGAAATATTATTTTACTTTTCTAATAGAACTTTATATTCAGAGTTAGAGGTTTCTACTCATAATTCAGCTGAAGTCTCTGGTCTTTTATCTCAACGCGTTAATATAAATTACATTATATTGAACATTTTAATTTATGAGATATTAATAACAATAAATCCACTAAATAAGTATCAACAGTAGTAGGTGCTAATATAGTGGATGCTGAAAATTGTATTGATTACACTATCAATATATTAAAAAATAAAAAAGCGATAATTCTTTTGATTTGATTAGAATTAAGGCTGAGAACTTTTAGCAAAATTTAATCTTACTCCCCACAAATCATCAAGGGTACGTACTCCTATAATTTTTCAAGATTTAGTCGAGACCAAATTACAATTTGATTGTGAAAAAGACTCCAATTGGAGTTCTTTAAAAAGGAATTATCAGGAAATTATTGATTATTTTCTGTTGATCTTTTTTTAGATAGATTTACACTGACTATAATCACCTATCATGTTTTAATACATTATCCTTAATTGACCCTGATTATTTTATATCGAATAAAATGGCCCGATTAATCATTATTAAACTTAAATATGGAAACGTTACATTATATAATGAAAATAGCTAAAGGATTATTAGCTGCAGAAGTTAAAAAAAACACATAATTTTGAAAATATTAAATATTATGTATAAAAAATATCATCATGCATTTAAAGAATTGTATATATAGTATTATTTTGTATTCATATTACATTAATAAATTTTTAATAAAAATAGCAAAAAACTTCTATAAATGCTTATTTGTTTTATTTTAAAAAAATAGTGGCCCCCTCAAGTAAGCAGCTGGCCCCCCGAGTTGAAAATTCCTGGCGGCGGCCTTGCAGATGGACGTACCAAATGTTAAAATATCAAAATGTTGCAACCCATTTAATCTACAAAGTCATGCTTATTATCGCAAGAATCTAAAAAAGATTCTACCCTGGATGATACAAAAAAATTTACCAATCAATTTAGATATGTTAATATGCTCTTCATGCTGACAAAAATTAGCAAACATTCCTTATACTTCAAATGACAAGGGGAATCTCCCATTAAAAGAAAACGCCTATGTAAACAGAAATATCCAAAGAAAAAAATATCTAGAGTAAAAAAGGTTAACGACTAAAATTATACCATTATCTTCATCAAATGATGAAATATTACAGATGTCGATTACAAATAAATATAGATTATTAACATTATTGCCATCAAATATGACAGTAAGAAAAATTGTAAAAGAATTTAATATTATATGGCGTTAAAATCAAAAGGTTTAATAAAAGAAAAGGGATTTTTTTTTCAACACCAAATCCTAAACCTGGTAAGACACGCCACCGTTGCTATTATCAAAACTTTTTATCGCAATGATAAATATAGTAGCTCGAATGCTGGGAAAATGTATCTTTTTTCTATAATTAAAAATGGTAAAAGGATTCAAGTCCAAAAAAGATTAATTTAAATTTATTTACGAGAACTATATCTTAAATTTAAAGATATTTATACAATAAAATTGGACTCTAAATTTTGTAATCTTCGTCTCGAGAATTGTGTGTTTGTTGGCAGCAGTGGTTAAATATGTGTTTGCTCCATTCATCAAAATACAAAATTAATGCTGAAGTTTGCCGAAAATTACTTTAAATGAAGATTTAATTAAAATTACATATATGGATATATTGCCAAAAATACTTTGTAATCCAGCCATATTAAAATTCTTTTTTGGTGATTGTGCTCAATGCCCTGAATCTTCTAGTTAAAAGGCCATGATAATTAAAATATTATATTAAAGTGATATCGAATATAATACCTACAAGCAATGGGTATTTACAGATCGTACAGATCTTTTAGCTATCACTTCATCCACCTACAATATTTTTTAGAAATACTTTTCGAAAAGCTAATATTTTACTATTACACTAAGATGCAAACAATATTCATGAATTCTCTTAAAATTATTTAAATGAAGGAGAATATATCAAGGCAGATTTCGCTGAATTATGCCTTGGTGGTTAAAGGTGAAGTAAAAGGGTTTCACTGGAATAAATCTCAAGTTACCATTCATCCTTTTGTGATTTATTACAAGTCACTTAATAATGTAAATCATTTAAGTTTCGTAATAATATCGGAATCTCTCGTTCATAATAAATTGCCGTTCATTTATTCCAAAAATATTTAGTTCGCTACTTAACAAAGAAATTTCAATGCCCACCAAAAAAATTCTTCTACCTTTCAGATGGAGCAGTAGCACAACGTAAAAATCGCAAAAATTTAATCAATCTTTGCCACCATGAAGATGATTTCGGGATAAAGGCTGAGTGGTATTTCTGAACCACATCTCATGGCAACTCAGCTTGTGAAGGGTTCGGAGGTACAGTCAAACGTTGGGCTAGTTTACAAAGACCTGTTTCAGAACAAATAACTTGTCCTAAAGAGTTTTTTTTTTACCTATTGTAAGGAAAATATTAAATATAATTTATTTATATTCTAATTTTTTTTATATTAAGGAATAAATTTCTCCTATATTATGGAAGATGAATATGAGAAAGAACAAATAATTTTAGAAGAGAGATTCAATAAAGCGCGTACAATAACCAGGAACGCAAAAATTTCATAAATTCAATTTCTCAGGATAAAATTTAAGGAAAAATTTATTCAAACTCTATATAAATATAACAACTCGCTCGAATATTAATACAAATTTACTATATGAAAAATAAATGGATATATAACATGTAGACAATCAATGTGGATGGCTTATGTTTTAAAGAAAAAAATCGAAATAGAGGAGGTGTTAGTTAGTTTTTTGTATCCTCAAAGACCCTCAAATTCTTATACATATCCTTCCTTGATTGACAAATTGTGGATACATAAATTACAAATTTTAGATGCGGTCAATTCTTAAACTGCTACCGGATGAACTTATACTTTACATAAGGAAATTAAAACTATTTATCTTTTTAATTTATTTTCTTAAAATATATATAATTATCTAACTAAATTTTGTTTTAAATATATTTTAAATTATGGAATATATGATTATCTATCTATATTTCTATATTATTAATAAAAAATGAATAATAAAAAAATTATACGAAAGATATTTATTATTGGAAATTTTTTAAATTTTATTAAGTGTCTAATGGGCATTTGCCCACATTAATTCTCAGTTTAATTAGTATGTTAATTAATTTTTTAGTATAAAAAGTAAAAATATCCTGTTATTGGCAAGTTAGCAATAAAATTTACCATAATCCGTAATAAAACGCCATCTACCTTTTTCAATTTTTGGTAAATTGTAACCGGAAGAGTTGATAGCGTCGCCAAAGTTTTGACATCGTATATATATTTATAAAAGGTGTCTAAATAAAATGAAAATAAAATTCGAGAACAAACTCCCTTTTTACTTAAAAATACAGGTAAAGCAATATAAATAAACCGGAAATTAAAGACTCAAATAGGTGCCAATTTTTTTCGATAGCTCTTTAAAAATATTTTTTACCTACAATATGATATATTATATTTTTTTTATTATAAATAGTTTTTGAGATATAAGCACTTTAAAAATCCAAAGTGACTCTTTTTTGTATGATCCCCTATATCTCGAGAACCAGGTGTGCTAGCGAGCTAAAATAAACGGTTTCTCATTTTTTTACCTATCTAAATAATTTCAGAAATTATTAACAATTTTAAAAGGGGTTGGCCGATAGATTTGATGTGAAATGGCCCAGTTAGCAATAGTGTTACTTTATAGCACTAGTTTAAACTCATTTAATTCTATATAATAAATTCCGCAAATTATATGAATAACATGTTACTATTTGTTAACTGTGAGAAAAATGGGTTTCATTGATATGATTACTATAAGATTTATAAAATAAGATGTTAATATTATATTCTCTATATGAAATTTGATGTTGAAATAAAGGTTATTAAAATAAAATTTATGGAGGCCTAATTTGATGTAGTATTATAAAATTTAGGTTGATACACATGATATAATTTTAATTAATACACCATTTTTACCTTTTTTGCCTTCATTGTCACCTGAATCAAGCTCATTAATAATCAAAGAATCATTTTCAAGGTCCCTTTTGAAGGATTTCATTGCAGCCTAAAATTATATATATAAAAGAGAGGTTGTAGTGCGTTATATTTTTATATAGCCATAGCTACTAGCGCTACTTTTTATGTATTTTAAATAAATATAAAAATAAATTTAAAATTTTGAATACATTTTATTTCCATAAAATGGGAGATAGGGGAGACCGGGACATGTAAGACAATTTCAATTTTTATTTAAAATAAACTCACAAGTGTCAAAAATAAATTTTATATGGATAATTATTATATATCTAACGTCAAAAAATATTTATCCCAACTCAATTCGGTATACCTTTAAAATAAAAAATGTTTTTTAAAAATATTTTTCGTCTACATATTTATTATATCAAATGAAAGCCTAAACTTCGATCATTTGTGTGAGTTCAATATTTTAAGGTTAGAAAATTTTATCATTTGTCAAAGAAATTCTGAATTAAGTTATAATCTAAATAAAATTAAATGAGCAATTAAATTATAAAAATCTAGAACAAGGATTTTGTTAAATGTATTTCATTTTAATATTTATTTATTATTATTATTAGGTCAGAGACCTGCAGACCCGGCCCTAAACCTGGCCCGGGCAGGGCCGGGCCGTATTTTAAATTTTTTAAATATATCCGGGCCGGGCCTAAAAATTTTTTTTAATATATCCGGGCCGGGCCTAAGATTGTTAAACCCGGGCCGGGCCTTAATATTTTTTATAAAAATTTTTACATTATGAGTTAATAGTTATAAGATTATATTATATTATAGTTATGATTAATATAATATTGGGTGATGGTTAACACTAGTGTTGTTAATTGGTTGGTTGTATAAAACCAGACCCGGGGTTTGGGTCTAAAAAATCGACCAAACCAGCTCTGAGCACAGACCCGGGGTTCAGACCTGGGGTCCAGACCCGGGGTCGTGTCGTGTAACGATTTATTAAACAAGTTAATAATTAAATATTTTTTATTGCAATAATAATAATGACTGAAAGAGGGCAGGGCGGGTCTACTAGGTCTTGGGGGGTCAGGAATAATTTATCAAAACAAAATATCGATATATGGGTAAAATATAATCTTCTAAACTAAATATCTTTAGATTGAAAGTATTCATTTTTTATCTTGATGGGTATGAATGACTTGGTTTTGGAGGTGGATGGGGTAGGGGGGGGTGAAAGTGGGGGGGGGGGTGAAAATTAATATTTTTTATATGGAAATAAAAATATTTTTTTGTAATGATAATAATAATGATAATGATCACTCATACAGGGCGGGTATAGGTCCTGGGGGGGGGGGGGGTCAGGTATATTTTTATTAACACAAAATATCGATATGGGTGTTGTTTAATTGGTTGGTCTTGGTTGTGTAAATCCCAAACCCGAGGTGGGTCTAATAAAATTACTGCGATCTAAATTAGCAATATTTATATAAGAAATAAGCCAGCATTAACTCGAGTCGAACCCCATAAATAATGTTGTTTCAAATATTTTAATTAAAATTATTTATCAATAATATCGAACTTAAATAGGAAAATCCTGCAAGCAACTCAGCTTATGACTAAAAAATTTTTAATCGGGGACTCTTAGGGCTTGGAAATAATAAAAATGAATTATTATGTAGGTTTGCTTATAGATTATTTCTATACCATCCTGATCTTAGTTCAGAATTAAATACGAACTTTCTGACCGGATTTATTTAATTTCATCAACTAGATAATAAAATTAAGTATCTGTAGCTAATTTTTTTAATAAAATCCCCTATTTTCTTATGTGATAAAAAAAGTAAATATATTTCTATATGATTTTAAAATCTAAAATAAAGATGTGATTGATATTAACGAGTGGCTGCGTCTCTTCTATAAATATAATAAAAAATTTTATTTTACATAAAAAATTCAACATAAATATGATTAATTTAGATCTATTTAAAAATATTTCCGTCAACATTCTCGATGGAAAAAGTTATAATTATAAATTTGATGAAAATTAATTTCCATTTTTTTAAATTTCGGTAGAAAAGGAAGTTTTTCAAAAACACATTTGTTTTCAATTATAATTTTATTCGTATTCGTAAATATCATCATCATCGTCATAGCTTTTCTTATTATGTATAATATAATTATAATAAGCATATTAAAACTGAAACAGAAAATAAAATATAAAATCACATAATTAGTAATCACTATTTTCAAACTTCAAAGATATGTATTATATATAGATCGAATCGAATTTCCTTTTCGATATATCATATCGTATCCGTATGTGAGTTAAAGAGGCTGTGAAATATATTAAATCAAAAAAGTAGTAATTAATTACCTCAATTATATGGATCTAGTTTTGTTATTTGGTTTGAAGAACCATTTGAAAAATAAATATTTAAGTTAAATAACAGGAAGTTTTTAAAAAATAACAAAAATTTTCTCAACAATTTCTTAAGTTTTTAATAGTCATTTATTTTAATAAATAAAATCGAAATCCATATTTTTTTAATAATAATAATTAATTAATCATTCTGCCATATTGTTATTTTTATGCACATTCTGTTAATAAAAGTTTGCGATAATCTCTTCAGAATCTTTTTTTAGTGAATTTGGTGATATTAATTAACTTGACAGTTAACATCGCCGTAAACGTAAATTGATTTCTGATAAATAAGTAAATTTTGGTATTTCCAATAAGAAATCTTCGATTTATTAATGTTAAATATTGTTTAAAATTTTATTCAAATTTCATATTATATATGTTTATTATTTATTATATATAGATTAATGTTACTTATTTATATAAAAGTTATTTAACAATAAAAATATTTTATATACTTTTAGAATTGCAATAGAATTGAATAAAAACTATAACTGATCATTATAATATATTTAAATAAATGACATAAAAATTAGATATGATATCGGATCGGTAATCGGTCGATATCAATTTAATGTCGGATAGGATAGGCCTCCAAAAAGTGATATCGGTATACACCTACTTAAAACCCAAATTTATTAGTTATACCTTTAAAACCCGTGGTGATCCTGGATAGTTGACATCCCTTTAAAAATTATGACATATATATTATTGGGAATATAACTTTAATATAATAAAGAAAAACTTTTTATTGGCCATTATTTTATCACAAATTATAAATTTACATTTCTTTTTATTATTTATACATGCATGAATGACGTTGAATTTTTATATTGGTCCTCCACATTAAATTACAATATCAATATGTGTTAAAATAAAATTTTACTTTTTTATTTTTATTCCGTCATGCATGGGCTACTCTTTTTGAATATTTATTACATATATTTTTATTTTACCATATAAATTTTTTATCAAAAGAAAGAAAATGGTAAGAAAATAATAATAAAAAAAGCTTTATTAATTTAGAATGAATAAGATAAGAAGAATAAGATTTAATTTAAGATTAGAAAATGAAATATTTTTTTTTTACTTTTTATTTATCCGAGCCCAACCCCAAGGTGTAAGTCTGGACCCCGGGTCTGAACCCCGGGTCGGCCTGAGCACAAAATTTGGTCGTAAATTTTACGACCAAGCAAATTAACAACACTAGTTAACACTACCTAACAACCCACAGATCGAATTTCCTGCAAATTTATTCAAAGTATTTATATATTTTTTTATAATTCATATCTAAATTTTTACAACATATTTTACCAAAACAATCAAATAAAGGAATATCTTAAATAAGCCCCAATATTCAAGTATTATTAATATATTTTTTTATAATTCATATCTAAATTTTTAGAATATATTTTACCAAAACAATCAAATAAAGGAATATCACTTCTTAAAGTTTGTAATGCCTTTCAAAGCGAAAAGGAGAAATAAATGTGATTTTACTTAATATAAAGCATTTTTTAATTGAAAAATTTGTTTTACACAAGTATCATTTTATTTCTCTCTTTCTCTGTCCCAAATTCAAGCAATTACGTATGTAGTCAGGGACAGATCGCAAAATGACATGATGGAAAACTATATAAAAGATTATATTAAATTACAAGAGGCTCAGGAAGTAAATGAAATACCATCGACCAGTCAAATTACGACTGTTGTTAAACAAACTGAATCGTTTTATGACAAATGGGGCGATGGTAATTCTGGTAATATGTCAATACCCGATGGTAAATATTATAATTACATAAATAATAGATAAAACATTTAAGGTGGATAATTTGTTAGAGTAGTGGGCGGCTCATCAAAGCGAATTTCCAATTTTAGCAAAATTGGCAATTCCTGCTTCAAGTGCAAGCTGTGAGCGGAATTTTTCCACTACGAGAATTCTTGAAGAAGTAATCTTCAACCTGAAAAGGTAGATATGCTTCTCTTTCTTCATGATAATTTGTGAATTTTTAATATCTTTCTTGAGTATAGGGTTTCGTCAATCATGCTGGTTTTTTACTTTGCAAACTGTCAAATATTTATTGCATTTATTATATTTACCTTGAGTCATGAAAGTTTTTAATCCAACATTTTTCATTATTTTTTTTACAATATTACATAATACAATTATCTTCTTTTGTTAAAAATTTATATTATAAAATAAATTATATTAATATTGTGCAATTAGATTATATTTTCAAAATACTATTTATTATACATGCATTTTTTTAAATAGCGATTTATTTTTATTTTATAAATTAAATAGTAAATTAAATACAATATATTATCTTCTCAAAATATTTTCAATTTTTATAAATTAAATATTAGTTTTATTTTTTTTAAATGTAATATAAAATATAGTATATGACAAATATTATTACCATTTTTATGAATAGTTTTATTTTTATAAATGCAATATAAAATATAGTATATGCTCAAAATATCCATTTTTATAAATAACAGTTTTATAATTTTTTTAAATTCAATATAATATTCTCAAAATATTAGCTTTTTACATGTATTTTTTAAATAATAAGCGATATTACTCGCTCAAAAATATGGTAAAATACCTCATATGTGAATTTTTGTATATACAGGGTCGTATATAATTTTAAAAAATTCCTTAAATTTTTAAATCTGGGCCGGGCCGTAAAAAATGCTTTTAAAAAATATCCGGGCCGGGCCTTAAATTTTTAAATCCGGGCTGGGCCGTGCAAATGGTACCTCTGCAGGTCTCTGATTTAGGTATCCGTTAGATCAATATCCAACAAATTATAATATCCCTAGAAAGTTGCCAATCATAAGAAACCTTTTTCAGGATGAAGAGATTTTTTATCTGTTAAAAAAGTAAATATTTATAATATTTTTAAATACCAGTTGATATGAAATTGTAGATATATATTATATAACTTTTATTATTATTTTAATTTCAATGTTAAACTATCTATATTGGTCGGGTATAAATACTATAATTTTCATTAATAAAAACTAGCTTTATGAATTCTAATAATACCAGTCACTGTGGCAAGCTCTGAGTGGAGTATAAAGGTGATATTTAGGTCAACCATGACTACTGAGATTGTGTGAGTTTATGATGCTATCTATATAATCCAAAATAACTTAAATTAGAGGAAATTCAAAGACTTTATAAAAAAAGCATGGAAAATTAATATGGTTATCATATATATTTAATTTTAATTAATGACATTTATACATCTTTTTGGATTGTATAAGTGGCGGAAAACAAATTCTTTCCTAAGGCCGACAGATAGATGTAGTAAATTAATTTATTCCCATTTTCTATATTAATTTATATACAAGATAAATATTTTATAGAACTTGCTATTCTAATATATAATTATTTTATAGAACATTGGTTCCAATTATTAGAAGTGGCATAGCCAGAATTCATCTTGAGGAGGGTTATAAAAAGATTTACGAGTCTTTGCTTCGATAACTTTTATTTGCCGCCTTAGGCTGGTCATGTCTATGAAAATTTATGATTAGGTATTTTATATTTTCTCATGCTTTTTTAAAATTTCAGTATCTTTATATCATGCCATTAAAATTGGCTGAACAATTAGAAGCACTAATTCTAACATCTATGCTAATGTTTTGTGCTTTATTAGCTATGAGTGCTTTAACCAGTATAAGTAGCCCTATAAAGGATAACAAAATTTTGGAAAACTTTACAGTTAAAAGGCAACTGAAAGCATTTACTTCGAAAATTGTAACAATATTTAGTGGATAATTATAAATTTTACAATCCAGTTGATAGACATTACTAAGATAAAAATTATTAGAAAAATAAGAAAAACTTGGCAATATGCCAGAATAGAAAATAGAACTAATTACCTAATATTGGGCCTAACTAATACTTATTCCTCAATCAGTCTTGTGAACCATAAAAACAAACAGAGTTATAAACAAAATGAAAAGAATGACCTCAAACTTAGAAATAAGCCAAGCCTTGAAAACATTAATTCTGACTGAAATATATACCAAACCATAAAGTACTGCTTAATTAGTATATTTTGTTGCATTAATCTGTGAAGTCGATAGTTTAAAGAAGAAAAACACCACTGATAAAATAAAAAGGAAGTTTAAAATATCTAGTTTGAGTTAATATTTAGTGCCTTATTTATTAATTCTTTAATCAATTTTGCCAACTATAAAAAAAGTAACAGAATTATAGGCCAAGATTGTGATATCAAGCCTTAAGCACTAAGTTTCAAATTTGTATTAAGACTTAAAGCTATATCAATAATTAGTATAATTTAGTGCTGTAATTTGTTTGGTATATAGTTTAATTGGCATCGTGTCAGAGGGAAGATAATAGAAGCACTGAAAATTTGTCTGTGCCAATAAGTAATGCCTGATTAATTCATTAATAAGTTTTTCCAACTAATAAACAGAAACCAATTATAAGCAAAATTATAATGACATACCTTAGACTGAGTCTTAAATATTGCATTTTAAATTGCAAATATATTTCTTTTTCTTGTATTAAAATATTCTTGAAACTCATGATTCTACAATCTTGATAAATATTATTCCTTCTTTTTGAATTAAATAGATATAAAAATTAGAGACACGAAGAGATACCATACCACAGCCTAGCCTTGCTCAAATTTTTTTTCAGCCTCTGATTTTTTAAAAATAATTGCATTTAATTTTAATTATTATAGCTAATAATGGTGGTTTAAAATATATGGTCTGGCCCAAATGAATTTGAGGCCTGACCCAGGAATTTTTAAAAAATTTCTTTAGTTCCAGCCAGAGTTGTTAAACGCTACTTTTAAAAGTAGCGCGCTACCGCTATCACTTTTTGTCAAAAAAAGGAGCGCGCTACCACTATCGCTATTTGTCAAAAAAAGTAGCTCGCTATTAGCTACTATTTTTTAAAAGTAGCTTTAGCTACTTTTTAAGCTAATTTTTATAAAAAAAATTTACAAACAAATTTTTTATTTTTTGCTTATAATGTTATTGTATCTTCTTCTTCTTCTCCATTTTATGACGATTTCCAATTTTACCCAAGTAGGCCAGTTTTCCCTCTGATTTTTCTTTTCCAATTTTGACGGTCCTGAGCATCAATACTTGTAAGATTCATGCTTCTCATATCCGCCGCTATCACATTTGTCCACGTCATCTTGGGTCTTCCTCTAGGTCTTGATCCTCCTACTTCCATCATTGTGCATCTCTTTACCCAGTCATCTCTTGTCATACGTTCCACATGCCCAAACCATCTTAGTTTATTTCGTCGCAATACCATACCAATCATTTCTATACCTAATCTTGCTCGCAATTCCTTGGTTTTTCTCTCTCTCAGAGATACCCCACACATCCATCTAACCATCCTCATCTCTGTTCTTTCTAATTTGGCTTTGTGAGTATTTTACCCTAACTAGAAAGTGACTCAAGAGCATACTGTGGAAACAATATTATCTGAGATTGATAGTATTGAAGAGGAGTTCCATTTAAAAGCCAAAATAATACCAATAGTAACTGATGCTGGGGCCAATGTCAAAAGAAGCGTATTAGGGGATTATGAGCATCATTTATGCTTAGGGCATGGACTACATAATTTGGTTACAGTTGATGGCATAAAAAGTTACCAAAATTGATATTCTCATTAAAAAAATTAGAGAAGTTATTTCAGCTCTTATATATCGAGTAGATTTGTAATGTGAAATTGAGGCTTAACATCGTAAATGTCTCTCAGTCAATTTATGAGACAGGTAATATCTTGGATATTGATGATTCTGATCCATACCTTGATGACCATTTTGATATATCTGATGAATCGGATAATAGAAATGGCATTGCACCAACCAATCTAATTAATGATAAAACTTTAAAATTAAATTGCCCTACCCACTGGCATAGCATATTAATTATGCTAGAAAGTGTTCGCAGTGTAAACAAAATTCTTATAAATAATGTTCTAGATAAAATATAAAAACAATCTTTAAAACTCTTTAATAATGAATGGGATATGATTAATGAGCTTTACACAGTATTAAATCCATTCCGAGAGTTGGTGGAATTTCTTTCCTCCTAAAAAGGATTGACAATAAACTTAGGTTATTATTTCGCAGTGAAATATAAATCTATAGATCTGGTTGCTCAGATATTATATGCTTAAAAGAAAATATGAAAAAAGCTTGACCATAGGTTTCCCATTACTGAACTTCAAGTTATTTTATATTTTTATTTATAAAATTATATTTTAAACATTAGATATTAGCAACGCTACTTGATCCCAGATTTCAAAATCTTAAAGTTGTTTAAGAATATTTAAATTCTAATTCTACGACATCATTGCAATTTTTAATTCGACATTTAAAATTTTAGAGCATGATAGAAATGCACAGTGAAATTCAAGTTGAGGATAATGGTCAAACATCAAGCTCTTGTATAGCTAAATTAGCTTGTAAACATTCCCTTCCAAGTAACGATTATAACAATATTAGTAATCTAGAACAAGAATGCCATATTTTACTCAGCCAAAATAATATCCCAGAAGAGGACACATTAATCTTTTGGAAGAAAAGGAGACTGGAACTTCCTATGCTTGCTAATTTAGCTAGGAATGTTCATTGCATACCTGCACAGCGAAAGAATTTTTTGCATTGCTGGATTAATACTCAATGCTAAAAGGACTTCTTTTTGTCCCACAAATCTTGATAAAATACTGTTTATTCATGACAATTTTAATTTTGCTAAATCTGAATTCTGACTTATTATATTTCATACTTTATATTTTGCTTGCATTCCAAATTTATTTTAATTATAATAAAAATCAATAGAATATTTCTTGTATGTATTGTTGATGTGACTCTGATCTGAGTAAAAATGCAATTCCTTAGTCTATTTCTGAGAATGAGAAAATACATAAATTTAAATTGGAGTAAGACAGGAAATAATTTAAGATCAATTAAACTATGTTGACAATTTATTAGAAAAGATCACCCAAATAAATTATGCAATACATTAATTTATAAATTAAATTCATTAAAAAAATTTTAAAATAAATATAACGCGCCACCGCCGACAATTTAGTAGACGGCGGCAAAATTGGCGGGCCGCCAAATGCGGATAAAAAAATTTAAAAAACTGCCGCCGTTGATTGAGACACCAGCACACAGGTCTAGATATGTCCTATTTTTTAAATATAATTTGTAACAAAAAAATTTATATATGAAAATTTAAATTAAAAAATATTGTTCATTCGTATATTTTTTAAAATATATTTTGTTAAATAGATAACAAAATTTAAAGAGAAAGTCAGATGTCTTATTAATTTTAAATGAAAGCAAATTTTTGTTAGATATTAGTATAAAAGCTTTATGAAGTCAAAATTATCACATTTTTCATGAAGTGGGGTTAAAGGAGTGTCTATATCACTGATTATTATTAATTATAATCTTATTATTTTGTAGTATTTGGCAACATTTGAATAAATGTCATCAATTTTTATTATCTATGTATTTAAATACTTTTTCAATTTGCATCATGCATTTTTCATATGCATTCTGTTGTTTATCCCCTAAAACCTTATTTTCACTAATTTGTTGTATTTTTCTTTTCAAATTTTCTTTATGATTTAACCCTTTTTCATGAATTGCAGAGCTCTTAAATATTTTTATAAATTTTATTATTTCAAAAATAATTTACATTAGCATTATCAGAAAACCAACATTTGCATAACTCACAAAACTTTTTTGGTTGTGATTTCCAATATGTTGTCCTAAAAAAAAGAAAATCCTATCAAAGTTTATTGATAAAGGGTTACATGGTTTATTAAAGATAATAGAGTTTGATTATTTTTTGGATAAAAAGATGATTGACATTTTGTCATAAGTGAGAATGGCAATAACATAAATATATTAAATATAAATTGATTAATAATATTATGCATGTTTAAATATTGAAATAAATTTGTTAACTAATAAATATTGGTAAAATATAAATAAGAAGTTTGATTTTAACAATAATATAATAAGTTAGATAGAAGTCGAATATATATTTATAAGAAAACTATATGTTATATTTGTGAAAATTATATATTTTTTTATTATTAATTTGTGCGCGACTTTGTTAAAGTCGTTAATTTTTTTACTCTTTATAAAATTAAGAGCCTGGGACACAAAAAATAAAATTAAAAAAGCCACAGTAAAAATAAATAAAATTTTTAGGATATAAAGTAAGAAAGAAATTTATTATAATAGCAAATAATGTATATTTGTATTGTCATACTTACAATAGTGAGTTTAATCTATTTTCTAACATTTAGTAATGTTAAAATATTTATAATAAAATTACTTATAAATTTATTATAATAAATAAGAAATGTAAATATCTATTTGGAATAAGTTTTTTTAAATAAAGGAGGAGTTAAATCAATGATTATATCATTGAGTTAAATTCATAAATGTTTATTTATAAAAGGAATATGAAGACACAAAGCTATGTGGAAATGGTTCCACAGAGGAATAATTGTATTATAGTAGTAGTATATGTTTATGGATAGTTGGTATTGTATTAAATCGGAGAAAAATTAAAAGAGTTATAGAAATGGATACAATAAAGATCCCAGAAGAAATTGAAATTAAAAATATTGGAATTAAAAAAAAGAAAAGAATGAAAAGTAATTGAAAAACATTAATTAAAATGAAAGAATGATGGAGGAAATGTTAAATTAAAAAGAGGAAATGAGGAAAATTTTAAATGAAATATGATAGGAAATATGAGAAAAAGTATTAATGTTATTTTTATAGTCAAAACAATCGATTCTTTAAATTGTTTCCAATATATATATTATTTTATAATTATGTCATTTAACTTCTACTAATATGTAATTACAAAGACCTCCATAAGATAATATTAAATGTAAGAAAGTTATAATAATATATTATACAAATAACGTAACCCTTTAAAATATATAACGTATTCAAATATAACATATCTTCTTTCCCACAAAGTTAAGATCGTCTATCAATATTTTTTACCAAGTTCAAGTTCATCTATTAATCTTTTTGTTGGCTTTCGTTCCCTTGTTGGATATCGCGTTTGCCTTTCTTTTTGACTTGGTTCCATTGTTTCTACTGTTTTAGCTTCTCCTAACTTTATCATTGGTGTACGCAGCGGGGGGGGGGTAGGGAGACAAATCCCCCCCAAAGCCAAAATGCAGATGCCGGACATATTTTTCAAAAATATTATTTTTTATATTTTTATATTTTATTATATTTATTCATATCTATTTCTTTTTAAATTTTTATATTATTACCTTTTTCATTTACTAATTTACTTTATCAATTAATTTAATTTTCAAGTTTTCCTTGTGGCGTAATATTTATCTATTATTTTTAAATTTCCTGGTATTATAATTTTCAAATTTCTAGTCATGGATATTAGACTTTTTTTTAAAAACGCTGAAGGACACAATCATGCCAAAAAGCAAAAAAGTATAGTATAATAATTTAATAATATTTTAATTTAAAAATATTTTTAGCAATTAAACCCCCCCCCCCCCCCCCATAATAGCTAATAATAAAAGAATTGTTGAAAAAATAATAGATAGTCAGCATTTAGAGCCATCTAAAGGTCAGTTATTCTAAAAATACATTAGGGCAGTTTTATAATAACTTAGCTGGTATTATTTAATAAATAATTTTACATTTTTATGTACTTTTGGAGGTTTTTTTAAACACCTACTTTGAAAATGAAATGTTAATTTAATTATGTAATAATAAAATAACTGAATTTTTTAAGATTCATCATAAGATTATTTTGAAGAACCTTGTAAGGATGGGATAGTAAAATAAGAATTTTATGTATTTAATTTAGTAAAAGAATGAGATTGCAACAATGTGCAGCAATAATTTTTTTAAAAATAATTTTAATTTAATAACTAGAGTACAATGATCATCCATATGATATAGCCAATTTTTTAGATAAAGATAATATTAGCCTAGAAGAAAGACATATACTTCTTAAGATACTTATGATAAATATTTTATTTAGTAATAGATTTATATTCCACTCCTTAATTTTCAATATCCCCTAACTTTATGTGATAATCGAAAGTTAAATATCAAAATAGCTATTTTACAAGGTGGTTATGGCTAGCATACTCCATCCAAGACAGTGGAGCATATTGCAAAATATGTGTCCTGTTTGGACCACGATATGCTGGCATAAATCTAGTTAAGCTTAACACTCTTGTTAAGACTAATTTCAATAAATACAAAGATGCGGGGGAGATTTTTGACAATCAACAGAAAACAAATTATCACAAAAGCTGTGAACTGATGATTTCCTCAAAAGAATCAATTTAAAAGGGGGATATGATTCCCATTTCATCAATAATTGATAAAAATAGGGTTAAAATTCCAAAAGAAAATAGAGTCAAGATGCTTGATATTTTTAAATAACAATAATTTTATTTTAAAAATTTTTAATTATCCCCCCCCCCCCCCACACCAAATTCCTGCATACGCTACTGGTATTTGTATGCATGATCAATTCAAGTCTATATCCACAATCAAGAAAAATGAAAAAATTCTTTAATTATTAAAATTGTATTTTATATATTATTGTATATATTTTTATTTAAATCAAATTTTGAAAATAAATATATTTGTACTCGTACTACATACATCCCAATGTTATATTCTTGGTCATTAACTATAAATATATAATACTTAAATTTTAAGCTATAAAAGCTCAATTCAATTACTATTATAATATTAAGTTATGGTGAATTCCATATCAAATCAACCAAGGTTTCAACCCGACCCCTTTCAATTTTTCTTAAATTTTGCATGCTGGTAGTATATACTATAACTAAGAAAAAAATGAAATTTTACCTCCCAACAAGGTTTACCCGCTAAGATATGGGCGTTTAAAGCGTGGAAAAATGGTACATTTTAGACAAAATGCACCTCATTTATTTTCAAATATCTCGAGAAATAATTATGTTAGAAAAATAATTTAAATTTTATTTTGTAGCTTAATAAAGGTTCTTTAAAATGACATAAAAATAATTATAATAGAAATATTATTAATATCGATGACCGGATGTATAAAACCGGAAATGGCTATAAAAAAGGTATTTTTTTTTCAAATTTTTTTTCTGTAGATAGATATTACACTGCTTTATATTTGTGCCAAATCCTAGATTGAGATGAAAATGGGTCTAGGAGTTATGACCTTTATATGGCTTAAATTGATCAAATTTAACATAATATCTTCATTTAATGAATACTTATGAAATGTTTATTTAAAAATGATGTCTAAATGATAGGCCCTTACTTTTTTTTATCTAACTTTTAGGAAGTGGCTGGGATATTTATTTAATACTCAAGTAATATTGTAATTAGAAATTACTTGACAAAATAATTCTAAACATATTTATAACTTTATTTGTCTGAAATAAATTCACATTCAATTGTAGTTTTCGTAACCCCTAATGTGTTAGCTCTTTTTACTTCTTTAAAATCTTAATCATAATTTTCTTTTATATTAAAGAAACATAAATTCTCCGAATCGATAATAAAATTATATTATATTATTGGGAAAAAGAAACTAAATTCTCAGAATCGATAATAAAATCATATTATATTATTGGGGAAAAGAAACTAATTCTCAAAATCGATAATATTATTAAACGAAAAAAATAATAAATTCATATTATATTATTAAAGGAAACTAAATTCTCAGAATCGATAATAATAATTCTTAAAAAAATAAAATAATAAAAATTATCGATCCAATTTCAAATAACAAATATTTTATTAATTTCACAATTATTTAACTTAATGAACACAATTAATTTGTATTGCTCCAATCCTTTCAACTATAAAAAACATTCCACTCGTAAAGACCTGAGAAATGTCTTGCAATGGATGATAGAAAAAAACCAGTCGTTAACACTAAAAGATAAAATTTGCAGTGGATGCCGAAAAAAATTAAAAAATATATCCACGGAACATGAATTACCATTACCATCTATTTCCACAATTCCCGAACAATACATTGATAGAGATGTTTCTATAGAAGTTTTAAATGAGACATTACCGTTTTTAGATGAGACTCCTATTAAAAAGAAGCGAATTAGTGAAAAAAAATATTCTACAAAAAAATTTATTAAAATTCAGAAAAAGATTAAAAAGGATATTTTTAGGATAAATTCAGAGTCAGATCAAGTTGAAAAATATTAATCTAAAATCATAAAGGAATTGAAAGAAAAATTTTTAATAACAACTTCTCGCAGCGAAAAAATATTAATTTTAACAATTTTACCAAAATCATGGACTGTTAAAAAAATTGAAGAAGAATTTTCCACAACAAATTTTATGGCCAGAACAGCCAAGCAATTAGTTAGGGAAAAGGGTATTCTCTCGAATTCCAATATTATTAAGCCAAGTCGTATTATTTCAGAAGATATTATGGATAAAGTAAAAAAAATTTATAATTCTGAAGAAAATAGTCGGCTTATGCTAGGCAAAAATAATTTTATATCAATGAAAGTAAATGGGAAAAAGGATCAAGTCCAGAAAAGACTAATTTTATGTAATATTAAAGAACTTTTCATTCACTTTAGAGAGACTCATAACGATATACAGATAGGTCTGAGTAGATTTGCTTTCTTACGACTTAAAAACTGTGTTTTAGCAGGAGGTCCAGGTACACATATCATGTGTATCTGCACATTACATCAAAATTTTAAACTTATTTTAATAGGTGGAAAATTAAAACAGTTAACAAACGATATTGATCATTATAATTATCCTCCAATCAGCGATTACAAAATTGCATTGCACAAAGTCTTTGCAATCCAGCCCAGC